GGCCCTTACACAGCTGGGCCCCCGCCGCCTGTCCCCGCCCCCAAAAGCCGTGGCTGAAGACCAAGTCCACTCTGCTCGAGCTCGGGGTCTGCAGTTCTGACCTGAGAGAGACGGCGCATCCCCAGGCTGTGGGGCTGAGGAGGATGTCCGAGAACCCCGTGGGCTGGGGGGTCCCGGGCAGCAGCTTGGGTTTCCCGTTCTCACCTGAAGGCTGGCAGACAAATCCCAATGGCTTCCCCACCACGCCTCGCCTCCCACCCCCGTTTCCATTTTTTCACTTAATCTGGCCAGAGTGGGATTCAGCCACCTACAAGCACAAGCAAAGGCGTGTGTGGGACGAGGAGGGGGGAGACTGAGAGGCCGGGTCCAGGTCTGCTGCTTGCGGGGCGACGGCCGAGGGAGAAGCTGCCGCGTGGCCCGCAGTCAGCCGTAACTGAGGCTCCTTCCCAGAACGGTGGTGCCCCTCGCCCGTACCCCAGATTAGTCCCTGCCAATGTATTCTCCAAGTCACAGGACTCTTTCTAAAAGGCAGTCTGCCTACACCGGTCAGTAGCTCTCCACTGCTTTCAGACCCACCCCCCAGGTGCTGGCGCAGCTCACAAGGCCGGCTCGTCCTGTTTCCCCTGCTTCCGCCCCTGGCACGGACGCTCTGCCTGCAACGCTCCCGACTGCTTCCCTCGCTGGCTGACGCGTCGCGCACTCTGAGCTTGTCTAGTTGTCTTGTCCTTCAGGAAACCTGCCCTGTGGCCTTGCTGCTCCGACCCCCCCACCCAAGCCCCACTCTCTCCACTTGTTCCGCAGTTCACAAGTCATGCTTCTGATAACTTTCCCCAGCCTTGCTCTCCATCTCTGAAAACTACAGAGAGAAACTAAAATTTACTCCGAATCCTAACTCCCAAACTTTAGAAGTGCCACCAAGAATCACCGGCTTAATTAAAGAAAAATAGTGAAAACTAGTAGTAAGACTCAACTGATAGTCATTAAGTTTCCTCAAATCCCAACAGAGAGGAATTCCCACCCACCCGAGACAGAAAGACAGAGAAACAGGAATTAAATAGTGAGGGCTATTCCTTCTGCCTTTCAGCCTATACATTTCTGACCTTGAATAGAAGATGAGCTGGATGTTCTGAGTGGGTCTCAGTTCTTACTCGTCCCCTGGCAAGACTTCTAGGCTAACAAGCATGTCACGTGCTGAGTGAGATGCTGGCACTTAGAGAGAATGTTTTCGGGGAGAGGAGAGCAAGGCGGCAGTGGGACACAGAGCTCGCAGCTCACGCCCCACCACGAACACGTGAAAAATACATCCACACTGAAAGCAAACTGGAGACTGGCAGAAAGACTCCTGTGCAACCAATGCTGTGAGAAAGATGCGTACGGACTCAGGAAGGAAGGGAAGAAAAGCGATCACGTCGGGGCTCGTGCCCCTGGGAGGGGACACAGAGGAGGAGGGGGACTGCGTGGGCCTGCAGGTCCTCCCTGGGGAGTGAGTCGTTCAGACCACATATTGGGGCATCCCAGCCTTGAGGATCCACACCAAGAGAATGAGTCACCATGGCCGGTTTGAAAACCAGTGGGACTAACAGCAGGGCTGTAAGAAGCCTAGAGTCCACTCGTGAAGCGTGGGCGCCGGCTTGCTTACTCCTGGAATAAGGCAGAGGAAGCAGATTAAGCCTGCCCGGGGCTCTGGCTGCTTGCCCGTGATCGCCCCAGCACACGCCCCAGCCCCAGCCCCAGCCCCCACCCCAGCCCCAACTGAGCACCTGCTCCGGCCCCGCCACAGCACACGCCCCCGCCCCAGCTGAGCACCTGCTCCGGCCCCTCTTGCTCCAGCACTGCTTCCCCTTTGGGGGCAAAGATGCCGCTGCTGGGAGCGGGGAGAGCGCACAACTGGAACAGAACCAGCTTGGACCCGACCCTCAGGACAGCTGCTCCAGCAAACTGGGACCCGCCCTGACAGGGCATTGATGGCCACTGAACAGACGAGAAGCTCCAGCTCACACCTGGCTCTGGCTCCAGGCCCTTTTCATCTCCAGCCACACCCGCTACCAAGGCGACAGCTGCCAGCACAGCCTGGGGGAAGACATGACTCTTGCTCACTTCAGCTGCAGCTCTCCCAGCAAAGCCAACAGGCACATGCACACCATACAGGGAGACGGAAAAAGCCAAGCAAAAGGAGAAGACAGAGGAATTTGTTTCAAATGAAAGAACAAGGAAAAAAAACTGAAAAAAAAAAAAAAAAAAAAAACACGCAATGGAACAGAGGTAAATAATTTACCAGATAAAGAGTTGAAAGCATTAGTAATAAGAACGCTACTTGAACTAGGAAAAAGAAGAGATAAACATGGGACTTTCCTGGTGGCGCAGTGGTTCAGAATCCGCCTGCCGGTGCAGGGGACACGGGTTCGAGCCCTGGTCCAGAACAGAGCAACTAAGCCCGTGCACCACAACTACTAAGCCTGCACTCTAGAGCCCGCGTGCCACAACTACTGAATCCCGCGCGCCTGGAGCCCATGCTGCACAACAAGAGAAGCCGCCGCAAAGAGAAGCCTGTGCACCGCAACGAAGAGTAGCTCCCCTTGCTGCAACCAGAAAGCCTGCGCGCAGCAACGAAGACCCAATGCAGCCAAAAATAACTAACTAAATAAAAGGATCCACCTGCCAATGCAGGGGACACGGGGTCGAGCCCTGGTCCGGGAATATTCCACATGCCACAGAGCAACTAAGCCCATGCGCCACAACTACTGAGCCTGCGCTCTAGAGCCCGAGCCACAACCACTGAGCCCGCGTGCCACAACCACTGAAGCCCGCGTGCCTAGAGCCGGTGCTCCGCAACAAGAGAAGCCACCGCAATGAGAAGCCCGCGCACCACAACGAAGAGTAGCCCCTGCTCGCCGCAACTAGAGAAAGCCCGTGTGCAGCAGCAAAGACCCAACACAGCCAAAAATAAATAAATAAAAAATTAATTAATTAAAAAAGAACACATTAAAAAAATGAGAACAGTTTAAGACATCTCTGGGACATTGTTAAGTGTACTAACATTCACATATAAGGGTCCCAGCAGGAGAAGAAGAGAGTCAAAAATGTACTTGATGAAATTATGACTGAAAACTTCCTGTGCCTAAAGAAGGAAACAGATATCCAGGTACAGGAAGCAAAGAGAACCCCAAACAAGATGAACCCAAAGAGACCCACACCAAGACACACCATAATTAAAAAATGGCAAAAGTTAAAAAGAGAATTCTAAAGGCAGCAAGAGAAAAACAATCACATACAAGGGAACCCCAATAAGGCTATCAGTGGATTTTTCTGCAGAAACTTTTCAGACAAGAAACGAGTGTCATGAGATATATTTAAAGTGCTGAAAGGAAAAACCTACAATCTAGTTCAGAATTAAAGGAGAGATAAAGAACTTCTCAGACAAGCAAAAACTAAAAGAGTTCATCAATACTACACTGAGCCTAAGCGTTAAAGGATCTCCTCTATGTGGAAAAAGCTAGAACAAGAATTTACAGAAAAGGAAAAAGTCCCACCAGTAAAAGCAAATATATAGTAAAGGCTGTGGGTCAACTAATTAAATAAGCTAGTACAAAGGTCACCATATATGAACCCCATGGTAACCACAAATCAAAATCGATATCGTGAAAATGACTCTACTACCCAAAGCAATCTACAGGTTCAGCGCAATCCCTATCAAGTCACCAATGGGATTTTTCACAGAACTAGAACAAGAAATTTTACAATTTGTATGGAAACACAAAAGACCCCAAATGGCCAAAGCAATCTTGAGAAAGAAAAACGGAGCTGGAGGAATCACACTCACTGAGTTCAGACTATACTACAAAGCTACAGTAATCAAGACAGTATGGCACTGGCACAAAAACAGAAATACAGATCAGTGGAACAGGATAGAAAGCCCAGAGATAAACCCACGCACATATGGTCACCTTATCTTTGACAACGGAGGCAAGAATATACAATGGAGAAAAGGCAGCCTCTTCAATAAGTGGTGCTGGGAAAACTGGACAGCTATATATAAAAGAATGAAATGAGAACACTCCCTAACACCGTACACAAAAATAAACTCAAAGTGGATTAAAGACCTAAACGTAAGGCCAGACACTATAAAACTCTCAGAGGAAAACATAGGCAGAACACCCTATGACAGAAATCACAGCAAGATCCTTTCTGACCCACCTCCTAGAGAAATGGAAATAAAAACAAAAATAAACAAATGGGACCTAATGAAACGTAAAAGCTTTTGCACAGCAAAGGAAACCATAAACAAAACAAAAAGACAACCCTCAGAATGGGAGAAAATATTTGCAAATGAAGGACAAAGGATTAATCTCCAAAATATACAAGCAGCTCATGCAGCTCAATATAAAAAAAACAAACAACCCAATCCAAAAATGGGCAGAAGACCTAAATAGACATTTTTCCAAAGAAGACACATACAGATGGCCAAAAAAGACATAAAAGGATGCTCAACATCACTAATCATTAGAGAAATGCAAATCAAAACCACAATAAGGTATCACCTCACACTGGTCAGAATGGCCATGATCAAAAATCTAGAAACAATAAATGCTGAAGAGGGTGTGGAGAAAAGGGAACCCTCCTGCACTGTTGGTGGGAATGTAAATTGATACAGACACTATGGAGAACAGTATGGAGATTCCTTAAAAAAACTAAATCAGGGCTTCCCTGGTGGCGCAGTGGTTGAGGGTCCGCCTGCCGATGCAGGGGACATGGGTTCGTGCCCCGGTCCGGGAAGATCCCACATGCCACGGAGCGGCTAGGCCCATGAGCCATGGCCACTGAGTCTGCACGTCTGGAGCCTGTGCTCTGCAACGGGAGAGGCCACAACAGTGAGAGGCCCGCGTATCGCAAAAAAAAAAAACAACAACAAAACCCAAAACTAAATCAGAACTACCATGTGACCCAGCAATCCCACTACTGGGCATATGCCCTGAGAAAACCATAATTCAAAAAGAGTCATGTACCACAATGTTCACTGCAGCACTATTTACAATAGCCAGGACATGGAAGCAACCTAGGTGTCCATTGACAGATGAGTGGATAAAGAAGATGTGGCACATGCATACAAGGGAATATTACTCAGCCACAAAAAGAAATGCAATTGAGTTATTTGTAGTGAGGTGGATGGACCTAGAGTCTGTCACACACAGAGAAGTAAGTCAGAAAGAGAAAAACAAATATTGTATGCTAATGCATATACATGGAAACTAAAAAAGCAGTACTGATGAACCTAGTGGCAGGGCAGGAATAAAAACACAGATGTAGGGAATGGACTTGATGACATGGTGGGGAAGGGGATGAAGTGAGACAGTAACACTGACATATATACGCCACCAAATGTAAAATGAACGGCTGGTGGGAAGCAGCCGCATGGCACAGGGAGATCAACTCGATGCTTTGTGACCACCTAGAGGGGTGCGATAGGGAGGGTGGGAGGCAGGCTCAAGAGGGAAGGGATATGGGGATATATGTATACATATGGCTGATTCACTTTGTTGTACACAGACACAACACTGTGAAGCAATTATACTCCAATAAACATGTGAAAAAAAAAACAAAACAAAAAACAAAAAAATCCCTCAAGAAAGACAAAGAAGAACGAAGAAGTACAAAAAACGACTAGAAAACAAGCAACAACATGGCAATAAGTACATACCCATCAATAGTCACCTTAAATATCAATGGACTAAACACTCCAATCAAAAGACATAAGGTGACTGACTGGATAATGAAACAAGACCTATCTATAAGCTGCTTGAAAGAGACTCACTTCAGAACTAAAGACACACACAGACTGAAAGCAAGGGGATGGAAAAAGATATTTCATGTAAATAGAAACAAGAAAGGAGCAGCAATACTCATATTAGACAAAGTAGACTTTGAAACAAAGTCTGTAACAAAAGCCAAAGAAGGGCATTATGTAATGATAAAGATAGTAGGGGACTTTAACACCCCACTTACATCAATGGATAGATCACCCAGACATAAAGTCAGTAAGGAAACAGTAGTCTTAAATGACACATTAGACCAGTTGGACTTAATTCAACTGGGCATCAATATCTACAGGACATTTCATCCAAAAACAGCAGAATACACATGCACATGGAATGTTCTCCAGGATAGATTACATGCTAGACAACAAAACAAGTCTCAACAAATTTAAGAGGATAGAAATTATATCCAGCATTTTTTTTCTGACCACAACCGTACAAAACTAGAACTCAATTACAGGAAGAAAAATGGGGTAAACACTAACATGTAGACACTCAACAACATGGTACTAAAAAACCAACGGGTACATAAAAGAAATTAAAAAGGAAATAAAAAATACCTCAAGACAAATGAAAATAAAAACACATTCCCAAATCTATGGGATGCAACAAAAGAAATTCTAAGAGGGAAGTTTATAGCAATACAGGCATACCTCAAGAAACAAGAAAAATCTCAAACATCCTAACTACCTACCATCTAAAGGAATTAGAAAAAGAAGAAACAAAGCCCGAAGTCAGCAGAAGGAAGGAAATAATAAAGATCAGAGAAGAAACGAAATACAGACCAAAAAAAAAAAAAAAAAAAAAACCCCCAAAAAAAAAAGTCTCAAAAGCAGATAAGAAAGCAATGGTGCCTGCTCGTAAATGAGGGGTCTTATCTAGATTTTAATATGGCCGTAAGCAAACTGTGAAGGTTTTTGCAAGTTAGGCAACTTGTATGGGAAAGCAGGCATTTCTAAAGTTTCTAGAATTCTAAGCCAGGCACGATGGTTTGCACACCCATCCGTTGCTGGTGGGGTCATTGTTCTGGATCTTCCCGGACCGGGGCACGAACCCATGTCCCCTGCATCGGCAGGCGGACTCCCAACCACTGCACCGCCAGGGAAGCCCAGAGCTGTTTTTTAAAAATATAAAATTGGTAAGCCTTTAGTC